CTTCAGCCGAGGCCTCCGGAAGAAAAGCAACGCTACAGAGCAAAGCGGCGCCGCCACGGCCTGAATGAAGTAGGCGAGAGGAGAGGAGGGAAAGAGAACGGACGCCCAGCCTTCCCCTCTGGTCCGCGCCGTCGATCTAGCATTTGGCCGCCGACCGCTCCCTTCAGCTGCGGAAAATCAAATCCCCCGAGCGGGGAAGAAGGAAAGCGTTTTTCAGTGAAGAACCGATGCCCCTTCGAACCCGAGCAGGCCAAAAACTGGGCGCAGTTCCGATGTAAAGGAAGCGCCAAACTTCGGCGCCGGAGGAAGGAGGTTGCCGGCTGCCCGTTCCGCTCGGCGGCGGCGGCGGCGCGGGTTCCGACGGTCTTTCCTCCCCCCTCCCCTTCTCGGCGGTGGCAGCGACCGGGCGAAGCGGGCTTGGCTTCTGCCCGCGCGCACGGAGACGGCGGCTGCGGCGTTGGATCCGTCAACGTACTGCGAGAGCCCGGTGTACAGCCCGGACGTGTGCCCCAACATGATCGCCGCGCAAGCCAAGCTAGTCTACCAGCTGAATAAGTACTACACCGAGCGGTGCCAGGCCCGCAAGGCGGCCATCGCCAAAACCATCCGCGAGGTGTGCAAGGTCGTGTCCGACGTGCTGAAAGAGGTGGAAGTGCAGGAGCCGCGATTCATCAGCTCGCTGAGCGAGATCGACGCGCGCTACGAGGGCCTGGAGGTCATCTCGCCCACCGAGTTCGAGGTGGTGCTCTACCTCAACCAGATGGGCGTCTTCAATTTCGTGGACGACGGCTCGCTGCCGGGCTGCGCCGTCCTCAAACTGAGCGACGGCCGCAAGCGCAGCATGTCGCTGTGGGTGGAGTTCATCACCGCCTCGGGCTACTTGTCGGCGCGCAAGATCCGCTCGCGCTTCCAGACGCTGGTGGCGCAGGCCGTGGACAAGTGCAGCTACCGCGACGTGGTCAAGATGATCGCCGACACCAGCGAGGTCAAGCTCCGCATCCGCGAGCGCTACGTGGTGCAGATCACGCCCGCCTTCAAGTGCACCGGCATCTGGCCGCGCAGCGCGGCCCAGTGGCCGCTGCCCCACATCCCCTGGCCGGGACCCAACCGCGTGGCCGAGGTCAAGGCCGAGGGCTTCAACCTTCTCTCCAAAGAGTGCTACTCGCTGACCGGCAAGCAGAGCTCGGCCGAGAGCGACGCCTGGGTGCTGCAGTTCGGCGAGGCCGAGAACCGCCTGCTGCTGGGCGGCTGCCGCAACAAGTGCCTCTCGGTGCTCAAGACGCTGCGCGACCGGCACCTGGAGCTGCCCGGCCAGCCGCTCAACAACTACCACATGAAGACGCTGCTGCTGTACGAGTGCGAGAAGCACCCGCGGGAGACCGACTGGGACGAGGCCTGCCTGGGCGACCGCCTCAACGGCATCCTCCTGCAGCTCATCTCCTGCCTGCAGTGCCGCCGCTGCCCGCACTACTTCCTGCCCAACCTCGACCTCTTTCAGGGCAAGCCCCACTCGGCCCTGGAGAGCGCCGCCAAGCAGACCTGGCGCCTGGCCCGGGAGATCCTCACCAACCCCAAGAGCCTGGACAAGCTATAGGGCGCCCGGGGCTCCCTTGCAAACTCTGGCTGGGGGACGAGCGCCAGGACTGACGAGGCGGCGGCGGCGGCGCTGCTCCTCCGCTCCCCTTTTCCTAAACTGACCTTAAAAAGACAAGGCTCTCCCGGCAGCGAAAGGACTTGGCGACAGCCGAGCAAAACCCGAGGTACATTTCTTCCCCTCCTCGCCCTGAATCCTCCGTGTGTGTGTGTGTGTGTGGGCCCCCCTCCCTCCCTTCTCTTCGTCGGCTCTTTTCTCTCTCCTTCGTTTGCCTGAATGTTGTCACCAAGTGAAAAACGACATTATTTAACTAGATGTACGATTTTCTTTCTTGAAAAGAGTAAGGAAAGAAAACAAAATAAATTAAAAGGAAAAAAAAAACAGAAGCCCCAAAAAACCAAGAGAAAAAAAGGGGGGAGAAGAGTCATCACTATAAAAGTTTACTGGTGTTAAATGTATTCCAGTGCCAATGACAGACTATATGCACTTCTTTCCCTTCCTACCATTTGCTTAAAATCTGACTTGTTGAAAGCAGTTTAAAAGACTCACAAAAAATAAAAAATCGATTTTAACTTTCCATTGCCTTGGTGTCTCTTTATTCCAAATATCGGCAATTAAGAGGTGATTGTACCAAAGAATTTTACTTTTTAAGCAGAAAATTAAAAGGAAAAGCAGAAGGGCAATTAAGATAAATTTTCCACTTACACATTATAACATATTTTGAATGTTTCTAACTGATACCAAACAAATTATCCAAACAGGGAAGTGTTTCTTTTGTAAAACAACTCTGGACCTTTATGTAGCTATTTTTTTCTCCCAGGCAGCCATTAGTTTTTTAATTGTATTACAAGTTGATATAACTTCCCTTTCTTTGTAGAATATAAGCCCTTTCTCTCTTCACTTATCTATCCTTTTGCCTTTTCTTGCATATACATAATATAATATTCAATATTACATCAATTTCAAGGCTGTGTAGAATGTAATTAGGAAATTAAATGTACAAATTAGGAAATCTAGGAAATTTTCTTTTCTACATAGTTTTGTTGAATTTATATATATGCATATGAAACAAGATGGGAACCATTTTTTTAGGCTCATTCCCCAGGACAACTGACACTAATGTCCATATTAAAATCTTCATTCAGAAAGAATTTTTCATGTGTTTTAAATATGATTTCTCTCTTCTGAAGGAGTCAAACTTGAGAGTTATAGGTTTTGTACAAGCAAATTTTAATGTTCATATCTATCTAATCTATAGAGATCCTTTACTACTGGAATTTTTCTAAGTTTATCCTGAACCTATGCAAGTTTATCACTGATCTCAAAGTGGCTTGCTCCCAAATAAGTATGAAGATAATTGCAGCCTTACAAAGATGAAAGTTTTGTTGTCCCCTAAAAAAACTTACTTTCATTTTTTATTTAGACAAATTGTCACAGAAAATTTGTGGGTTTTTTTTTTTTTTACCACTTTGGAAGGGTTGATTAGTCTTTGCATATAAACAGTATGCCTAAAATAGTCTAAACTGAAAATGAAAAAGTGTTGCATTACTTTTGGTGCAGTAATAAAGCTCTAAAATATTACATATATATCCTGCTTGAGTGCGAATGTGCTTATTTGTGTAGTATCAGCTTGGAGGCAAAAGATACCCAAAAGTATGTCTTTAGGCTAAAAATGGTCCGAATCTGCTAAAGGCTTATAATGAACTGAGCCTTCATACATACTCCACTAGACCAGAATAAAGACTATGCTCTAGAATTCCAGAATCTTGTTAGGAACAGGCTTTCAGTAAGAATATAAACTTTGATGTTATCAGTAACAACAATATTCCCAGCTGCTTTACTTCAAAAATCCAGTCACAAGGTTTTTTCTTCCCAGATTTTAGAAAAATATACAGAAAAATTAAATAAACCCTATTAATTAAACAGGCTTGAAGCAAGTGCAGGATTGGTACTGAAAGAAGGGGTGTGGCTACTCAAGTTTTACTTATCCACAGCATATGGAAAAGGGAGGGAGGAAAGAAAAAGAAAGGACGTGGGAAAATGCCAGGGTTGTAAGAAAACAACATTGTTTTACTCCATGACTTCATAACCCAAACAACAAAAGATTTAGAAAGTTTCCACAAAAGAACTCAACAGCTTGGAGCTTATCCTACCATCACCACTAGCCCAAATATTTTCCAATTTCCATATAAATTAATACATTTGGCTGCTTTTTTACATTCTATAACTACCATCAGTTTAAGATGTCTGCCTCATATTTGTTTTTAAAGTAATATTGTAAACCTAATACCACTTTACTTCTCTCTTACTAGGAGAGAAGTTATTTCAAAGCAGCAAGGAAATACACCTAGTTTACTCTAAAATAATGTATACTGAAGTTTTTAATACTGTAATGAGGTAAAGGTAAACTAAGCATTCTGTCTCTTTATTGATGGCTGCATATTTACTTCTAGAATAAATTAGCATGCAAATAAACTGCAGTCAGACTGAAGCTCTTATATGTACACTACTCTTAGCTTGAAAAGTTTAAATGCTTCTGATAAGTTTATAATTTTAAACTAGCTGGTGCAATGTTATATAAAAGTATAATTTTAAAAAAGTTTTAAGAATTACTTTCTACTAGGTATTAAAGAATTCATAAACGATACTATTCATATTGTAAAAAATATTCATAGAGAACAATAAAATTGCAGGGGTTAATGAAACAGTTAGTTGCCTATATAGACACAATCTGCATACATTAGATCATACAGTTTTGTGTTCCATTTTCTTCAAGAAAGCACTGCAAATCTCTCTTATATAAAAAACAAATATTATTTCTGTAATAAAGCACATTTAAAAAGACTGCATGTTCAGTAATACTTTCTAATATTATGAAAAACATGAATATTTTAAAGAAATAAGTTTACATTTATAAGCAGAGATACGCTTTTGTGAAGCAATGAAATGGAATTTACTTTTGCATTTGGAGATTACAGTATATTTCAGAAAAGCTTAAGCAAAACTGTACAGCACAAATGTACAAGAATCGTGGTTTCAGAACATGTACAAGGAATTTCAAAGTCAAAACACAGATATCAAGGGGCAGTATTGCTAATTTAAGATATTTTACCCATTCTCTTGTTTTCAAGCAATTGAATTTCAGGCATCTCCCCAGAGGGTTCTGCCTTGAGGTAATTAACAGAGGTTCTTAGAAGTAATATATTTTATACTTAAATAGACTCGCATATATGAGAGCTCTACTTCAGCTAAATCAAGGACCCAAAAAACATAGTCAATGGACAGAAAAGGCTTGATGGAAAGATTACTTATTATTTGTCTTTTAAAGGGAGGGAGAGAGAGACAGTGATCTCTTACTTATTATTTGTCTTTTAAAGGGAGGGAGAGAGAGACAGTGATCTCTTACCTTGGGATCAATTTTCTTAAAACTGGGCTCTTCTTCATCTACCTCAAAATACACTTCAGAGGTGGTGATGGACAGAGTGCCTTTCACTATTACACAAGGGGCCACGAGCTGAGCTGGTGTACACATACTAACAGGACCTACAAAAGAAAAGAAAAGCACACACAGTCCAGCACTTTGTTTGCTATCAGCTGAACAACAAGCACAACATTTTTCTAAATGCACATGCATGTTACTTCTTTTATTCTACCAATCCAGCCCACCCTTTACAAAACAAGCTGCCTCTAACAAAGGACATTTTTATACACACTCCAAGAACACATGCAATGCATTTGTTGCAATGCTGGGTTGCCAAAGATTTGAACAAGTACAGCTGCAAGCAATAGAAGTGATTATGTATGCCCATCTCGGTGGCTGTTAGATCATCTCATTTTCTACTCCTGGAAACTTTGAAATGCTTCAGAACCAAATGCCTTAGGTAGGTAGGTAGGTAGGAAGGAAGGAAGGAAGGAAGGAAGGAAGGAAGGAAGGAAGGAAGGAAGGAAGGAAGGAAGGAAGGAACTATTTTAAAAAGCTGTGATTCCCTGTTAGGTTTTATTTATATTCACAGCCAAGATATACATTCAAAAGTTAAATACACAGTGCTAGAAACTGAAAAGGATACTGTGTTTCATCTGTCAGTTAAATATGTTTCAAGCTATCCATACATGGCTAGTACAGCTCAGGGACTGTGGGAGTAAACAGCTGGAGCACTGGTTTCCATTTGAATGCATTTTTATTGGAATAATCACATCTCCACAGGGCTTATCACAGAAGCAGATCAGTGTACTACTCAAAACAATAGGCTGGATGCAATTCTAACAATATGCAGGGTGTTATATAAAGCAAGATCCAGAGAAGGAAAGTGGATTATATTTGTCATCTTAGTGGTTTATAAACCGGGAATTCTGACAGCAACAAAGAGAATATTTATCATCCTGGCCTTTGTTTTAAAAAAGTGTAAAATGTATGTGCAGCGCATAACCTTTTGCATTAATAAAGTGGGTTTAAATGAGGTGTGCACACTTAGGTAATCAGTGGGTGAATAACTGCCAAAAAAAAAAATAAAATCCAGATGAATTGTCATTTCTGTCAATTGTTAGAGGCTGTGATAGTCTTTAATCTTGCATCAATCTCAATGTGTGCCAATAGGACAATGGAAGAGATGTTATGTTCTGATCAGAGCAGCTTTGCCCTCTATTCCCAGTGTACAAATACATTGTGTTTGCAGATGGGCATCCGAGAGCTGCACAACTGCCATGATTTCCCAAAGCTCATTCCCACAAATGGATGAAATAAGCAGCTATGTGTTCTTTTGCTGTCTCCCTTTGCCCTCTGTACATTAGCATGTAATCCTGGGAAGAAATAACATTTTTTCAATCACTTTCAGACATTCAATTACAGGCCAAGGAGACAGCTGCAAGAGCCAGGGCACCTCAGGTCCCGTAGAAAACCCCTGACAATTTCAACTTCATTTCCATCCTGCAGTACTTTATTAGCAAGGATTACTTCTTAATCCTATTGCCATTGTCAAGATTATATAATTAAACTTCCCTTTTACCTCTATTACAGTATGAATGCATTAGCAGAAGTAATGAATGTAGAATGGGGTGGAAAGGGAAGACAGACATGGATCAGATCCGGTGGTCCAGCAAAATCTGTTGAATAGTAGCTTCTATAAGAGCCACATAAATTGTGTTTGTTTTTTAACACTTGAATATTATTTTGGTATGAGATATATTTTCATGTTATACTTTACTGTAAGGCCAATCTGATGATTCAATCAGTAGAATAAAATGCATAATGCCATGGAGGAATGTTGCCTAATGAACAATAATGAACAAACAGCTCATGTCCACTGCTTTCAATGGAACAGAATTTAAACCAACAAGTAACATTCTTCTTCGGTGCGTAATCACAATATATGTCTGAATGTATTTTATAGAAGTAAAAAAAAAAAGAGTAGCATCTAAATTTTCAATTCAAGACCAGAGAAAATTGGATACATACTTAAAACCTCCAAGCAGAAAAGGTTGCTTTTGCCTTTTTGTATAAACTGCATAAATCTGCTACAGTAACATATAACCTTTTTTCCACTTATTTAAAGAATAAAAAGGAAAATACAGCATGACTGCCATGAATGCTGCAGAAAGGGAGCCAAGTGACCAAATAACTTATGAGTATTAAAGAAAGATTTCAGATTAATTGTCAAGCCTGGTATATTGGGACACTGGGACTTATCACCTAGAAAAATGACTAGAAAAAAAATCACCCCCTCCAAAAATATTAGGTACATAAAAGCAAATGTACATATCTGAAATATTGTACCAGAAGTCCTCACTAAACAGAATCTAAAGCAGTAATTTGAAAGTTATTTCTTATGGACAGAAAATAACTGCGTTGGGAAGAAGCCTCTAGTCCCTGTGTGTGTGTGTGTGTGTGTGTGTGTGTGTGTGTGTGTGTGTGTGTGTGTATGTATGTTGTGTCTCTGTGTGTATGACTGTATGTCAGCCACTGCAGAAATGGTGTTACCAAGGAGCAACTAAACCAGTACAGAGATTCTAAAATATAAACAGTTGAAGTTACCAGTTAAATTCTCAAGTTCTTTCTCCTCCATGGATGACAAATTATCATCATCGACTTCCAGGAGAATCTCGCTTTCTGAATTCTGATTTCCTAAAGCCTGATTCCTGATAGACTGCTTTCCTTTAACAAGTATATCTTCATCTGGAGCTGAAATGAAAGAGAAACATAGCTGTCAGCTATCAGCAGTTACAATGAGGAGGTAGAAATAGCCTTGCTTATATACATCCTGAAGACTTAGGATGGAGAAAGGAAGTTACCTGGGAAAGGGTTAAATAGCCTGGTGGACTGCTTTAATATTGTATTGCTAGTTGGGGAAGGAACAGTTAGAGAGTGATGGCTATAACTCAGTGAAACACAGAACTAGCTCGTCTAAACCAAGTTACATGATATTCAGAACAAACAATGTTTCATTTCCAGCCCTGGCTCCCATTCACTCACTGAAACACACCTGTAAGCAGATTTAAAAGAAAAGTTAAGGTTGCAGGAAAGTAGCTGGCTTGTGTTTGGAGACACTAGATAGCTGTAACACATACCTGACAATATATCCCATCATGCTTAGTAGAGAAGCCCACCAAAGACCATACAGAAGAAGGAGATTTTACATACCACTGCCATTCTCAAGAGGGAAGTCAGCAGATAGACAAACCAGCTAAACCTGCCTGATGGAAGTTAGTGGAGGAGATTCATGCTGAACCAGAATCACAGACATCAGCAAAACTTCAGCTTCATGGAATTCAGTGAATTTAGACCAATGCGACAGCCAAATGTCTATATAGTCATGAAGAAATTCTGATTTGGGGCAGTCAGGTAGGGCAATAGGCTGTGATTTAAACTGAACATGGGTAGGCTTATTAGTTGTTAACAAAACAGTTTCGAACCTCCCTGTTTTTCACAATCATTATACTTCCTTTTATAGTACAGAAACTGTACACTTTTTCTGGAACATTCTCCTTGTGAGGACTATTGTAGGCGATTATGCTGGTGGAAGGGACATTCTTGTTCACAATCCCCACAGAAATTGCTCTAGGACTGTGGGGGGGGGAGGGGGTTGGCTTCACAGCTGCGTCCCCTCCCTTTTGTGGGGACAGCAGAAATGGCATTAGTGGCTTCTGTCCAATTCACTCCAGTCCAGTTCCTTCTCCAGCCAGGTCTTAGCCAACAGGCACGGTGCAGGTCCAGGGACCTCCCCCCCCCCCGAGACCTGGGCCTAATCCTCCCTCCGCGGAACCAAGCGATAAAAGGATGAGGCCGTGAAAGCCCATTATTACGTGTGGGGACTCAATGCTTACTGGGCACTCAGGGACGCTGTTCTAGACCGCGCCGAGAGGCTTAAATTCTATAGAGGCGCGCCTAACAATCAGCCAAAGGACCGTAAGAAAAAAAAAAAACGCGCGAGGAAAGCGGAAAGTCCGAAGTTGGAGTCGGCCGTCTGCGCGCCCTCGCCGGGGGAGACGCGTTCGCTCTAAGGGGGGAAGCGGTTCTCTTGAGAAGTTCCTGGGCCAGGGAGAAGACGGAAAGCAAAGGCGGCACTATTTCAAAGTTTTGGGGCCTGATTTTCTTCCAGTCCCCCTTAAAGACGCCGGCGTTTCTCCTTCCAGGGCGGCAACGGGAAGATAGAAATTTAAACTTGTCGCAGAACTTGAGCAGCTCGGGATCCGGGTCCCTCGGTGCCTTTCAAGCCCCGACGCCTGTGCGAAGCGCACCTTTATTGGGGACATAGCAGGCTGACCCCGGCGCCGCGTTGGCGACATTTGCCCGCTTTAGAGGCGGCAGCAGAGGCTGCCGGTCCCCAAGCGCCAAGAAAGAATGACAGCTCGCCTTTTTTTCTTCTTCTTCGGGAGCGGCGCGCTCAGAGTGCCGAGGTATTTTAACACACGCTCCCCGTTTCTGAGAGTACCACACCGACCCAGATCACCCAAGGCAACTCTGAATTATTATTATTATTATTTTTTAAAAAAAAATACAACATATCTACACGGAAGGAATCTGGAGGCCACGGGGCACCGCGCAGATTGTTGGAGACCCCGCCTGGCTGCAGCTGCACAACCGAGTCTCGAAAGCGGCGGCATCACTCAGCCCAAGAGCTCTCAGATCGCTCCGGCATCGGGTGACCGGCGGAGACCAGTCGGCCGTACCGGCTTCCTCGGAATTTAGCACTCTGAATTCGGGGCAAGTAAGCGGGAACGGTACCCTCGGCCTTTCTACGGGGAAGCGGAGGGTGCGATGTACGAGCGCGGCTCCAACGAAACGGCGTCCAGCGGGACTTCCCTCCCTTGCGCCGACCCAGGGAGGGGATGTACGGTCACGGTGCCTCGAGGAAAGGAAGGGAAGCAGCGGTGGGGTTCAGCGGCGCCTTCCTTTGCAGAGGTAGTAGTATTAACACCTCAACTCCAGCACAAGAAATCGCTTAGAAACCGGTGTGTTACACACAGAGTATAGACACGCACGTTTTCCAAGGATGCAGGATGGAAAGGGAAAAGTGATGAGCATTAGGAGAAAACCTGCATTATTTTAATGCTGCACGGACTCAAGGCGAAAAGATGTGATAAAGTTAGGTTGCAACCCAAGTCATTCTTAAAATTGCACTAAAACACAGCTACTTAAGGAATGAGGCTACTGAAATGAATTGAATGGGACTTTAGTCTAAATATGGCCAGCGCTGAAATGCCTTTATACCATCTTTCTCTGACCTGTTGACCTCCAAATAGGTTGGATGTCAGTTCCCATAACTCTCATAAAAGCCATGCTGCCTGGGAATGATGAGGATGGGGATCTAATACATCTGGAAAAATCCAGGAAGACTAAGTTTCTTACTCCAGTACCATAAAATTCAAGAATTACCAGTTTTTTTCAAAAAGTAAAGGCTAATATTAAAACAAAGCTGTCTGTTCAAATAATTCTACTTTAAAATGCATAAAATGATTTAACTTAACTGTAACTGTAATAAATGAATGACAAATTAGTCTGATTTTGTTCTCAGCATTGCTATTGTTCCATCTTTAAATACATTTTCTTTGTATTTAAAGCTGACAACAGGAAACAGATAGGAGGCAGCAATTCACTACTTCTATATTATCTGCTGTGATATACCTGCAGAATACATGAAACTTATCTGGATTTCTAATATAGAAAAGAATTGAAAATGTATAGACCATTTTAGCTTGTGTTGTAAAAGAAGCCATATATTGGCCTCCATCTTCTTTGGAAACATATGTCAAACATATCCTGACCAGCCAGCTTCTATCCAAAGCTGATTGCGTTTTGATCACAGCCATACACAGTTTAAGGTTCCAAGGAATTATTTTTAAAAACCTTTAATCTGCAAACATTTACAGAGGAGGGGAATCCCTCGTGGCCATATATAAGCTTAATTGTGTCTGTAAGGATGTGAACAGAAATTTCAAATGAAATTATTAACACAATACATAAATCAAATCAATTTAGGTTCTGTGTTTTAGCTTTTCAAATTCTAAGTTCAATTTAAAATGTAGCCTCTTTTTAATATATTCCATATTTTTCTGAATCCAGATTCTTTAAAACGTATTTGCAAATTTGTTTACCAGTAGCAACCATGAAAGCAGGAAAAGAATTTCTTTTTCCTTTTCCTTTAAATATATTTGTGGATATAAGTAAACAATACTCTTACTTCTGGTCTTATTCAGTGAGAGTTGAAAACCCCTTGTCATGGAAAATATGTAGCTGATATTTAGAGAGGTTTTCCTGTAATTAACTCTCCCTTGAGGATTTTAAGTTAGTAAAATACACATGCACTAATGTTTAATTCTCAGTGGTCTAGTTGCTTTCTAGGAATCTTTTTTTTAAAAAATAAAGTGACAGCAAAAAATAAAAATAAAGCAGATAGCAAATATGTTTGTAAATTTTAACATGCTACCTGTAACTTGACACTATTTTGTGGCTTATAAAACTTTGACTCAGACTAATAGTCTTACTTAAAGTTGAAGAACTCCTTTCACACTTATTAAGTTAGGAAATCAAAATGGATGCCACCCTTTCCAAGAATAATTCTAGTAAACCTGTCTACACATGCTTTTTTAAAAATATCTTTTTCCACTTAATAGAAGATTTGATAATCAATTGCCTATAGTAATGAGGTTTAAAACATTATTGAAAATGCCCAAATAAGGATTTATATATTACCTATGCTTACAGTTTTTATGTGGCTTAAACATTACTTCTTGTATTTTACCCAGCTATACGACCATTTTGGCTTTTCCACTATCATGGGTAACTGTGTAAAGTGGCTATAACAACTCAAAGCAAAAAACAATAGGCATTCAGTCTAAAATATAGCCTACTTAGTTATTATAACTTCCCAAAAAGCCTCATTTCATAAGTATATTATTGTGGGTGTATTTAAAAGAGGAAATTATGTTACCTACAAATTCACTCATGTGATTACTGTTATTATTCTGCTATGGAAGGGCAGGGTGATATATAATAAGAATTTCAAAGATGAGGTAAAACAGTTAAACAAACTATAGCAAAACAAGACTATAAAATATAATTCGATTATTCACTTAAAAGCAGTTTGTATCTACAAATGCCTGGCTCAGTTGTTATCTGCAGAAAGCATATGGTATCAACCATACTTTCCTTGGGAAAGATGTTCACAGTTGCAACATATTGTATAACCTTCACTCTGGGCCATCCTATTATGAGCAATCCTATGACAGAACTTCTCCCAGCTGATCTCATGACTTAAGAGTCAAGATGCACTGAAAAAGTAGATTTTCTAAAATGTATTTGGCTTGATGCCAATCCCTTAAAATAAACTCAGTAGCGCACAAGCAATCACTACCATGATCCTATTTAGCTGCCCTGATTAACAACTAAACATCAGTTGCAGCTATAGATTGTCTTCAAGAGTAGCCTAACAATCAGCAGTAATCCCACTGTTTACCTATGATGGCGTGGATTAATGAGAACATTTTATCTCAGTCCAGTTTTGGAAGCTGAGCATGCCAGTGAAGTCATACAGTATATGTCTTTAGTGACAAGTTGGAATCATGCTCTTCAAAGCTACATGCCCATTCTTTCAGGAAATATTCTACCTTAACTAAAACCTAGTTTACTCAGTCTAAATAGTGCCTATCCACAGTATTTCTCTTTTAATCTATAGTTACTAT